TGTGTGTGTGTGTGTGTGTGTGTGTGTGTGTGTGTGTGTGTAGGTCAGAAAAGAGAATAGTGGAGTTAGTTTTCTCCCTCCATCACGAGGGTCCTAGGACTGAATCCAGATTGTCAGGCTTGATGCTGTCTTTCTTTCAATTTTTTTCAAAGTTTTATTAAGAGAGGAGAAAAAAATTTATCTGTTACAGTAAAAATGAATTTATGTAGAAAACTATGAAATGTTGCCAGGCATTGTGGTATGTTCTTATAATCCTGGCACTTGGGATTAAGAGTTCAGCACCATCTTTGGCTATCCAGTGATTGTGAGACCAACCTGCCTCAAAAATAAAAAGAAAGAAAGAAAAGAAGAAAAGTGAGACAGTCAGCAAATGGCTCCGTGGGTGAAGGTGCTTGCCACCAAGTCTGAGAACCTGAGTTCAATCCCTAGGACCCATATCGTGAAGGAGAGAACAGGCTCACTCGTGTTTTTCTCTGACCTCCACACTTTTGCCCTTGTTAGTATTCAGGCCTGAATAGTAACAGCCCTGGCATGCACCCCCCACCCCCACACAAATACACTAAATAAATGTAATAAAAATGTTTACTTGGTTGGTGCATTAGTTTCCTGGGGCTGCCATAACAACGTCTAATCCAGAGGGTTTAAGAAGGCAGAGGGTTGTTCTCTTACACATGAGAGCCAGAAATGGAAAACCAGCCTGCGGCAGAGGGCATGCTCCCTCTGAATGCCCTGCAAGAGAATTCTCTTTACCTCTCCTAGCTTCTGATGGATCCTTAGCATTCTTTGATGTGTTGACAGCATAATTCAAATGTCTTCCTCCATCTTCACATAACTTCTATCTATTTGTGGCCCAGCGTCAAATCTTACCATAGTGTGTGTGTGTGTATGTGTGTGTGTGTGTAGCGATCCACCCAGCCTCCCAAATTCTGGTCATGCACATGCACTCTACCACTTAACATGTTTTTGTTATGAGGACACAAAACACTGAATTTCAGGCCCATCATAACTCTAGAATGATCTCATGTTAATGCTATAATTATACATATAAAGACCCTATTCCCAAGTAAGGTAATATTCACTGGTAGTTAGGTTAGACCATGAATATATTTTTGAGGGGACACATCTGACTAAAGTATCCTTTTGTTTTTTGAGGCAGGGTTTCTCTGTAACTTTGGAGCCTGTCCTGGAACTAGTTCTTGTAGACCAGGCTGGCCTCGAACTCACAGAGATCTGACTACCTCTGCCTCCCGAGTGCTCGTTTTAAAGGCGTGTGCCACCACTGCCTGGCTTGTTTTTTTTTCTTTTTCTTTTTTTAAGACAGGGTTTCTCTGTGTGTAACCCTGGCTGTCCTGGAACTCACTCTGTATACCAGGCTGTCCTCCAAATCAGAGATCCACCTGCCTCCATCTCTGGAGTACTGGAATTAAAGGTGTGCACAGCTGCTGCCCACAGCTGCCACCCACAGACATCACAGCCACTACCAGCCAGCTATGATCTTTATTTACGTTTTAAAATTATTTATTTATTTATTTATTGTATATACAATAATCTGTCTGTGTGTATGCCTGCAGGCCAGAAGAGGGCACCAGACCTCATTACAGATGGTTGTGAGCCACCATGTGGTTGCTGGGACTTGAACTTGGGACCTTTGGAAGAACAGCTAATGCTCTTAACCACTGAGCCATCTCTCCAGCCCCATGATCTTTATTTTTAAATGACTTTTATTTACCATTATTTTATGCTTGTATGGATGTGTGTGCATGATGTATGTACATGGGCCTGTCTTCATGTGGCTGTCAGAAGACTTTGTGTAGTTGGTTCTCTCCTTACACTTTTTTTTAAAGAAAAAAAAAGTATTTTTGAAAAATTTTATTTATTTTTATTCCATGCATATGAATGTTTTTGCCTGCACATATGCATAGGCATCTGGCAAGTACAGTGTCTATAGAGGCCAGAAGAGGGCATCACATCCCCTGGAACTGGAGTTACAGCTTGTGAGTCACCATGTGGATGCCAGGAATTGAACCCAGACCTTCTGGAAGATCAGTTGGTACTCTTAAGCACTGAGCCATCTCTCCAGCCCATCTCCTTCCACTTTTATGTGGCTTTCAGGAATTGAACCCATTGTCCTCCTTAAAATCCCATTGCAGGATCATGAAGAGCACGAGCTGCCTGAGTTGGATCCTCACATCCACAGAGAAGAATAGAATTGACTCCTGAAAGTTGGCCTCTGACTTCACATGTGCCATGGTATGTTCTTGTAGGAATGCACATACACGGAAAATAAATAGAATGCAAACAGAATTAAAACCACATTTCATGAACCAAGGATATGGCTCAGTTTATAGATATCTTTGGTTAGCATGTAAAATGGTAACTAAAATTTAAAACTCACCGAAAAGAACAATCATAAATTTGAACAAGGAAAGCAAAATATTAATTATTAATCTAAAGCAGTGGTCTCAACCTATGGGGTGTGATCTCTTTGGGGGTTGCATATCATGTATTTACATTACAATTCATAACACTGGCAAAGGTACAGTTATGAAGTAGCAACAAAATAATTTTATGGTTGTGGAGTCACCATGACATGAGGAGCTGGATTAAAATGTTGCAGTGTTAGGAAGGTTGAGAACCACTGATCTAAAGGTTAATAGAGATTACGAACTCTGAAAAACAAAAATAACAATGAAAATTTAGAGAAAAAAATGAAGGGGGATCTCAGAAAAATAATCAGACTTTATACTCACATATATATACATATATATGTATACATATTAATGAAAATAATCGAGAGTGAGAAGAAACATAGTATTTTAAAGAGACAATACAACATTGTCAGAAGCCTTTGTTTAAAAAATAGATTTATACACACAGGAAGCTCAGTGAACTACAAGTATAAACATTTAATAGTGTCCACTAGCATATTAAAAATATTGAAAATAAAACAGTCTTGAAAACAACTACATCATCACTAATAAGAGAAAATAAAGATACAATTTTTCATTGAAAAACAATGGAGGCCAGAGGCAATAGCATAGCATATATATTGTAACCCTAGAATGAACACATCACACAAGAATCCTGTATTCAGCAAAGCTAACTTTGAACACAAAGGTGAACTGCAGCTGTTTCCTGATAAATCGAGCGGAAGCAGTTTATTGTTACCAGATCCACACTACAAGAGAGACTAAAAGGAGTTCTCTTCCCAGGTGAAAAACAAGAGAATCCAGACAGCCTAATAGTTTCGCCCCTATTGGTGAGGAGTAAATTCCAGCACCTGCATTGGATACCTAAAACCAATTCCTTTGTAGACTATGCGCTTCCTATCCATAGATACACTGTTTAGTTGCCTTTTGATTTTGAGACAAAGTCTTTCTGTGTAGCCAGTTTCAAACACTAAATCGTTTCCGCTCCCACCATTTGAGTTCTAGAATTATAGTCATACTCCACCTTGAGATACAAATTTAATGGCGTCTCATAACAAGGCACTTAACAAACACTGAAACAGTCGGAAATATGGTAGCGAAAGTAGCACAGATTGCTTACAGATGAATATAAGATACTTTGTTTCCTTCTCTTTCTTCTGCCTCTTTAAGTCCTGGGAATTAAGTCTAAATCCAAACTCCTCCAAATACTAGGCAAGCACTGAAATATTGAGCTGCCTCTCTGTGTTCTGTTTTGTTTTTGTTTTGTTGTTGTTGTTTGACACAAGGTCTCACTAAGTTGCCTAGGTAGGCCTTGAACTGCCAGGGTCTTTGCTGTTTTTTTTTTGTTTGTTTGTTTGTTTGTTTGTTTGTTTTAGAAAAGATCTCTTGGGCCTGGCGGTGCACACCTTTTATCCCAGCACTTGGGAGGCAGAGCAGGCGGATCTCGTGAGTTCTAGGCCAGCCTGGTCTACAAGAGCTAGTTCCAGGACAGACTCCAAAGCTACAGAGAAACCCGGTCTTCAAAAACCAAAAAAAAAAAAAAAAAAAAATCTCAGTCTGGTCTTGAGGTGACCTTAAACTTCTATGTTTTCTGCCTCTACTTGCCAAATGCTGAGCATTTGCAGAGAGGCCTGTGGGGCCCCACCTGACAAGCTTTGGAATTCCAATGCTCTACCTCAGCCTCTGTAGCAGCTGAGATAAGAAGCTTGCACTGACAGGCCCAGCTGCCAGATTCATTCTTTTGTATTACTTTTATGTATTAACAAACAGGGGTCAGAGGTCAACCTTTACAGGGTAGGTTCTCTCCACCTTGCATATTCCGAGAATCAAATTCAGGCCGGGCGAGGGTGGCACACGTCTTTAATCCCACCACTTGGGAAGCAGAGGTAGACGGATCTCTGACTTCGAGGCCAGCCTGGTCTACAGAGTGAGTTCCATCCAGCCAGGGCTACACACAGAGAAACCCTGTTTTGGAAAAAAAGCATGAAAGAATCAAAGTCAGGTGAAGCTTGTCCAGCAAGTGCTTTAACTCGCTGAGCCATCTCATCAGCCGCAGTTAACTGATTTAAGGCATTGTGCTTCCTTTCACAGTGGAGTAGTCAGTCCCTCCCAAAGAAGAACAAAATTATAACACCTTCAAGGAAACCAATGAAACTAGAGAGAGAGAACATTATATTAAGCAAAATGTGTCGGACAAGGACAGACAAATATCACGTTTTCTCTCTTGTGAGGCATCTAGATTGCACACATACATAGGTAGGCAGCTCTCTGTGTGTGTATATGGCATAGAAGGAGAGACAGGACTGGTTGTGGATAATCAGTAAGGCAAAGAATATGAGTCAATTACCTGATATGCATATGTGAAAATATTGCGACGAAAGCCACCATTTTGTGCAGTGGTTATGCACAAATTCGAAGACAAATAAATGGAAGGTGAGGCCAGGTCAGTGAGGGCCTGGTCTTGAAAGGTATCAGAAGTCCAGGCCCTCCCCTTCTTCTCTCTTTGCTTCCTGGTCACATTGAGATGAACGGGTTGCCTTTGTCGCGCACTCTAAAACTGTGATTTACAATGCCACCAGAGGCTCAGATCCGTGGAACAAAGAAATCACACACTAAAATCGCTCAAAGCCTAAGCCAAGATAACCCTCTTCTTCTTGGATTTGGTTTATCTCATACATTGTTCACAGAGACAGAGAACACAGGAACCTAAAACATTTTGTCAAATTCACCACCAAATCTAATAAAATGCAACAAAGAGTTTAAGGAGGGAACTTCATCAAGCTAATCACAGGTGTCTAGGAAAAACCTGTAGCTGGTCTCAGAGTTAATCATGAAAAACTGAGTACCACCTTCTTACAATAAGGAGATCCAATTTAAGTAAAATCCTTTCTTTTCAAAGAGGATCTCACGTAACTCAGACTCTCGTCAGACTCTCTTCAAACTCCCTATGCAGCCAAGGCTGACTTAGACCTTCTCATCCTCCTGCCTCCACTTCCCACGGCCTGGGTGGCATGTGCTACCACACTTGGCTTCTTTGGGGCTGTGTGTGGGGGTCATCCAAGAGTCTTGTGAAAACTAGGGAAGTACTCGCCAAGCTGAGCTATATCCGCAGCCCTTTTCTCGCCATTTCTCTTCACCCTTGTCCCAGAGGTCTTACGTGTTCAACTAGTTAAGAAAAAGGAAGACAAGTCTGGTGTGGGAAAGGAAAAGGATCTCTGTTCTAAACTTTATGATCTTCCGCAGCAAAACCCATAAGGAACGTATGAAACAGATTATTAGAGCGCATATGAGTGGAGCAAGTCTGTGTGGTACATAACCAAGATAGACCAAGAATCAGCCGTTGTTGGACTCTAGTGTCCAAACTGAGAAGGAGTCCAAACTGAGAAGGTATATGAGACCACCTCATATACCACAGCCGATGCAAAAGCATGAGGATTTTATTAATTCTGTCATGACAGGGTCCCTCAGCATTCGGAAAGCCGAGAAACCCCGACTAGCTGGTACAGTCTACTTTTAAAGGAGAAGGCCCCATAGAAACAAGAGGGGTTGTTCCTTGACCATTATGATTGGCTTGTTCGAGAAGGGCTAATACCAATAATTGACTGGAGAACTATTGTCAGATCAGATGAGGTAAGAGGTCATTTTGACCCCGTTTCCCAGGGGACTGAATCAAAACATACGTGTATGGGTAATTGTTCAGGAACTGAGTATGTGCATGTGTAGCTGTTAGGTCCTTGGTTCCCAGGGGAGGAAGGGAAGCACTAAGGCATGGAGGCTGAGAGGGTTTGGAATTGTCAGAAATGGCTTCAGAATTGTCTAAAATCTTACACTGTGAAGAACTGGGAATGGAAACTGTCCCAATTTACAGTGTCACAAAGAATAAAGTATTTAGAAATGTGTTTAACAAGATAAAGTGCACTGAAAACTGTAGACCAGTACTGAAGGAAATTAAAGGATACCTAAAGAAATAGGAAAAAATTACGTGTCCATGGTTTGGAAGACATAATAGTAAGATGACAATACACCTGGACTGATCTGCATTTCGTGAACTCTGTGACCAAATCTCAGCAGGATTTTGGCAGAAAGCTCATGATTCATACAAGGAGCCCAGACCATCTTGGAAAGGCCAGGCAGTGGTGGCATACGCCTTTAATCCCGGCACTCAGAGGCTGAGGGAGGCAGATCTCTCTGAGTTCAAGGCCAGCCTGGTCTATAAGAGCTAGTTCCAGGACAAATTCAAAGCAACACTGAGAAACCCTGTCTCAAAAAATCCAAAAAAAAAAAACCCAAAAGAATTAGGAAGGCTCACACTTCCCATGCCCAAGCCTTCCTAACTAGAAGCAGTGATCTCGGGAGGAGTCTGTGATACTGACATAGCACATTAATGGAGTAGAATTGAGAAATAAGCCCACAGATCTGTTATCAGTTGTTGACACTGGTATCCAGACAACACAGTGTAGGAAAGAAAGCAAGTGCTGGGTCAAATGGATATTCACATGCAGAAATATCAGGGAACTAATACATATCTAAATTCTAAGGTTAAAACTATACAATTTTGAGAAAAAAATATATAAATATTTGTTATCTTATATTAAGCAAGTGTTTCTTAGTTATGATACCTACAACACAAGCTAACAAAGAGATAAGGTAGACTTTGTCGGAGGGAAACATGTTTGTACAATAAAGAACATTATTAAGAAAATTGTGGCCATTAATCAAGCAGTATTACACTGCCAGCCAGAAAGGACAGTCTGAAATCATGAAGCAAAATACATCCTTCTACCCTTAAAATGATAAATAAAGGGCCCAGTGTAGTGGCACATGTCTTTAAGCCCAGCACTCTGGAGGTCAAGGAGTTTGAGGCCAACCTGGTCTACATTTAAAGTTCCAGGCCAGCCATAACTACATGGTGAGACCCTATCTCAAAAGAAAGAAAGTGTTGGGCAGGGAGGGAGGAAGGGAAGGACAGAAGGAAAGAAAGAGAGATAACCCAATGAAAGAAAGAAGAGAAACCCAATGTAAATTACACTCAATAAGGATCTACTTACCTGACTATATAGAGAGAACACAAACATATCAGTACTCATTAGGAAAACGTAAATTGAATCCATAATATGATAATTTTTCCTTCTATCCGGTAAGATGGATATTAAAAACAGCGGTGAGTGTGTAGAGCAACTGGCTTTCTTACACAGCTCTGTGGAAACAGTTTGCTAGCTCCTCAAAAACATAAACTGTCACTGTATACCCCGAAGAATGGAAAAATCAGTACAATAAAAGTTATACACAAGAGGCAGGTGGATCTCTGAATTCAAGACCAGCTTGGTTTACAGAGAAAGTTTCTGGAAAGCCAGGACTGTTACACAGAGAAACTCTGTCAATAAAAACTGGAAAAAAATTAAAAATTAAATATTAGAGCTGAGCAGTGATGGTGTACACCTGTTGGGAGCAGTGAACCCCCCCCATCCTGAATTTCTTGTAAACAATTTGTTTTCCCCTAATCTGAGTGCCTACAGCTGCTCTGAGCACGAGACCCTCAGGAGGTCCTGATGGCAGGGGAATGGTTTCTGGTGCATTTGACTGGGACGTAGCTATCCCTATATAAGCTGCCCCTGGACACAGTAAAGGGGGCATTCTTGTTTTAAGGATGACCCATGTCTCTGAGTCTCTGTCTGTGAGTCTTTGTGTGTTTCAATCTCCAGTCCCTTGCCCAGTTCACGAACGGTATGCTGGCACATAGAGCACAGATGGGCGTGGTGCACCACACACCCCTTTAATCCCAGCAGAAGGGAGGCAGGGGAATCTCTGAGTTCAAGGCCTGCCTGTTCTACAGAGCGGTTTTATTTTTTTTCCAGGATGGCCAGGGCTACGCAGAGAAACCCAATTTCAAAAAAAATATTCATAGCATCCAAACAACAGAAGAAGCTGTTGGAGTGGCATATGTTTGTAATCTCAACATTTAGGGTGTGGAGGCAAGAGAATCATTTCAAGGTTAAGCTCAGCTACACAGAGAATTCAAGGCTAGTCTGAGTTTCATGAGAAACCCAGTTCACAGTGTTATTTCTAATAGTTCTGTACTGGAAATTTATCAAATTGAGTATTTTAAGACAAACATGAACAAAGTAATAATACAAACACACACACACACATACACACACACACACACACACACACACACACACACACACATATATATATATATATATATATATATATATATATATCTCCCAGATGGATTCGAAAAGATTGTATTGAATGAAAGAAACTAATTGGAAAAGAGAACACATGTGGTGTGACTGTATGAAATGTGAAGAACAGCTGAAACTATGAAGGTAACAAGATTATTGGGTCCATTGCTCAGCTGAAGTAGAACAAGGGAGTGTGCTTGCACATATGACATTTATTTGGGAGGGAAGGAACTCTAAAGTGTTCTACACCTAGATTGTGGAGATGGTTGAATATATAGAAAACCATCTAAGTGAGCAGTGGCTTATTAGTGTGTGGGTGCTGTGGGTATGCGTGTGTGTGTAGGTGTGGATACCCTGATCTGTGTGCAGAGGTCAGAGGACAACTTTGTGGACTCACTTCTTTTTTTCCACCTTGACGTGGATTGGAGAGATCAAAGGCAGATCTCTCGGCCTGCATGGCAAGCCTTTTTACCTGTTTACTGAACTAGTGTGCTGGCCTTCACTTCACATTTTAGAACAGGGAACTTGAGCTCGAGATGTAGCTCAGTGGTTAAAATATTTACAAAAGGCCATTGAATCATTACCCAAATGGTGAACTTTATGGTATGTAAATTATGTCTCAAGTGGGGTCTTAAAAATATGTGGTGCTTTGAATGAAGATAAACTAATAAAATCAGATTTTCTTTAAAATTAATTAAAAAGGTGTTTGGTTAATAAATTTAATTATGATCGTAGTATGTTCTTAACATTTTTTCCTTGTGGAGTTGTAATTGAATATTTCAAAACCAAATAGTATTCTGATTGTTTGTTTCTTTTAATCTCGGCTTGCATTTTTCTCCTTCATTTCCTTACACATTTTCAAATTGCTACTTGCAAAGGAAACAGTAAGAGGTTCGGATACATGTCAGTGTTAAGGGCCTTGGTTGGCATGTGCTGGACTCTTGATTCCATCATGACACATTAAATTTATTAAGCATCTTAATACTTAGAGAACATGTCAATGCTTGTGCACATTATAATTGCTTTAACTTAATATTCTACATTTGAATTTTCTCCTCTTTGTTTTTATTAGTACAGTGTCATTTATAACATGAGATATTAATATTTTTAAACTTTATTTAACTTTATTTCATGCACATTGGTATAATGATGTCAGATTCTCTTGAACTGGATTTAAAGACAGTTGCGAGCTGCCATGTGGGTGCTGGGAATTAAACCTGGGTTCTCTGGAGGAGCAGTCAGTGCTCTTAACCACTGAGCCATCTCACCAGCCCCTGAGGTATTAATATTTGTTTGTTTTTCTTTATTTAGAAAAATTCTTTGAGTCAAGTCTCACTGTGCAGGCCTAGCTAGCATGGAACTCTGTATAAACTTGACGGTTCCCAACTTAGAGAGATCTGCCTGCCTCTACCTCCCAAGTGTGTTATTAGTTTTTCCTCCAACCTGCTTTTAAAAATTCTACTAAGTTTAATATTCCTTTCAGCAATGTATAATATGTCTGTATCATAAGCTATCACGTATCTATGTCTGTCATCTATCTATTATTTTCAGTTGAAACTATTTGATTGCATGAAAATGTTTAGTACTTTTTTATTAGCAATTTGCTTCATCTGTGAATTGTCAGAATTGCCTACTTCTATCTTATCAATTTGTATTTTATATATATATATATATATATATATATATATATATATATGACTATAACCCCATTTTGTGCATGTTTCTGAAAGGGTATTTCCAATTTTATTATTCTCTTTGTTATTTGCTTATTGCTATTTAATTTACTTATTTTTGCTCCTTTTGGTTTTTTAAAACAGGATTTCTCTGTGAAACAATCCTGGCTGTCCTAGAACTCACTCTGTAGACTAGACTGGACTCGAACTCAGAGAAATCCACCTGCTTCTGTCTCCTAAGTGCTGGGATTAAAGGTGTGTGCCACCACCACCTGGGTAATATGCTTATTTTTGAGACAGGGTTCTGCAGCTTAAGGGCCAGTCTCTAAGTCACCATTCTTCTGTTTTAGTTCTCAAGTACTGAGGCTACTGACATTAATAATAACGCCTAGCGTGTTTTGAAATTTGGATTTACTTTGTTTATTATGGTGGAGTTTCAAGTCAACCTTCCCCATTTTCCTTCGGATTTCTTTTCCATTTGTGATGTCTAATCTTGATTGTCAGCCTGTCTAAATCTACTGCAGGGCACTACTGGGAGGGATTTTTCTAGATCAGACTATTTGAAGCAGAAAGGCACACCCTGAATCAGGGTGGCAGGCTAGAAAAAAAGGGGGACATTGAAAAAGGAAAGTTTACTTTTGGACTGCTTGCCCTTGCTCTCGCTGGCAAGTCCATCTGCCGTGTCGCTACAGAATTCCTTCACTAGTATTAAAACCCACTTCTTGGGGATTCCAACAGACGGAAGAGCAGCAGCTGTCCAGGACTCTTCCAGTGCCACATTGGGACTGCTGAGATATCCAACCTCGTGTATTGAACAACTACCAGAATCTTGGCCTTTCCAGCATGAGCTAGTCATTGTTGTTGGACTACCCACTTAGACTGCATCCTGTAAGTCAAACTAATATATCAGTTCTATTATTTGTGACAGCCTTAATACAGCATTTTTCCTAAACTTAGAAAGAAATCTTCATCCTGAGATTTCTTGCATAGTCAATCTTTCTTTCCCAGTAATATTTGTTTGTGTGTTTGTGTGTTTGTTTGTTTGTTTGTTTTGGTTTTTTTAAGACGAGGTTTCTCTGTAGGTTTGGTGCCTGTTCTGGAACTACCTCTTGTAGATCAGGCTGGCCTAGAACTCACAGAGATCCACCTGCCTCTTCCTCCCAAGTGCTGGGATTAAAGGCGTGCACCACCACCACCTGGCTGTCCCAGTAATATTTATTATTTATTTACTTATTTATTTAGAGACAGGATTTTTTGTATACCAGGGTAGCATAGAGCTTCCTAGCATCCAGCTTCTACCTCTTAAGTGATAGCATTACAAATGTTTATGTAGTAAACATGTGTCACCATGCCTGGTACAGGTGGTTCTGTGTTACTCTGGGATTCATGCATGCTAGGAAAAACACTAGTACATTTCCAGCATCCCATTGCCTTTCAAAACTAACTTGAGGACTTGAGAAGATGGCTCAATGCTTAAAGTACTTGCTGTATAAGTATGGAGACCTGAGTTCAGATCCCCAACACTCATGTGAATCCTAAAAGCACACACATGGCCTTAGAATAGTGTAGAGGGGTTGTATTTCAGGGTATTGCTTTAATGACAGACCATATATCAAATAATAATAATAATGCGAAGAGCAATAGAGGAAGGCACTGAACACCAGTGGGACTCCACATGCATACATGGATGCACACATTCCCACCACACACATGCATGAACACACCCAAAGATGGGAAAATAGAAGATATACAACTTGGAAAGAGGACAGTGACCAGCAGTGTTCTAGCCAGTGTTCTGTTTCTGATAAGAGATATCATAACCAAGGCAACTCTTATAAAAGAAAGTTTAATTGGAACTTGCTTACCGTTTCAGAGATTTATTCCATTATGTTCAGGGAGCATAGCAGCATGCAGGCAGACATGGTAGCTGAGAATTCTATATCCAGATCCACAGGCAGAAGGAAGAGCAGAGCCACTGGGCCTGATTTGGGCTTAGGAAAACCTCAAAGTCCATTTTAGTGACATAATTCCTCCAACAAGGCCACACCTCCTAATCTTCTCAAACAGTGCCACCACCTAAGCACTTAAATATATGAGCCTATGGAAGCCATCCTTATTTAAACCACTACAAGCAGGATGATCAAAGGAAGCAATAGGGTATGGATATGATCAAGCTATGGTATATACATACAGAAAATGTCATAATGGGGGCGAGAAAGGTAACTTAGAGGTGAAGAATTCTTGCTCGATATTCATGAGAACTGGATCTCCGCATCCATGTATCAAGCCAGGTATCTCACAAAAGCCTTAACTCCAATTCTGATAGTTCTAACTAATACCCACTTAGGCCCTCTGCAGGTGAGTACACTGAACTTGCACCCCAAAACATGCATATTCTCATGCAAACACAGACATGTGAAAATAAAATACATTTTTACATGTTTTGTATCTAATTTGTGAGAATTTGTTTATATGAAGATGGTACTGCTATACATATGTAGAGGTCAGAGGACAACTTGCCGGAGCTAGCCCTCTCTATCATGCGAGTTCTGGGACTCACATGTCAGAACATGTCTGACATGCCACACATTGTCAGACGTGGCAACAAGTGGCTTTACCCCCCTGAGATATTCTTGTTTATTCTCTGCCTCTGTGTGTGTGTGTGTGTGTGTGTGTGTGTGTCCATGTCAGTGAGCGTGAACCTCACATGACTTTGTAGAGGTCAGAAGACAGCTGGGGGTAAGTTCACTCTTTTCACCATGGATTCTGGGAATCGAATTCAGGTCATCAGACTTGGCTATAAGTACCTTTATCCCCTAACCAGTCACATGGGCCCAAATAAATCTTTTTTTAAAAAAGAAACTGGGCCAAAGAGATGACTCAATGGGATCTTCTGCTAAGGTTGATCCCTAGAAGTCATGTAAATGGTAGAAGGAAGAGAGCTAACTCCACAAACTTCCTCTGACTTATGTATACCATGGTATTCATGTACCCACAGACACAAATCTCTCTCTCTCTCTCTCTCTCTCTCTCTCTCTCTCTCACACACACACACACATACACACACAATAATATTAAACTAATTAAAAATTTGAAAAAGAAAATGTCATAATGAAAACCATTCTTGCATATAATTAAAATATGCTATGTAAACAGACAAAACAATAATCTTTTGTGTATGACTTCCTACTTTCCAACTGCAATTCTGTATGAGGATTGCTTAAAAACAGCAAACTATTTTTATGGCAATATTTATTAAATGTTTTTGTTTTCCAGTTGGTACATTATGCAGTGATTGGCACTCATTAATGTGTTAGACTAAGATCTATTTCTTTTTGTGTTTTCTATTGATCTGTATCCTGGTTTCCTTTCTGGTTGCTATGACAATATAGTTTGTCAAATGCAACATAGGGGAGAAAGGGTTTATTTTAGTCCCCAACTCCAGGTCATGCTTCATCATTGGAGGCACTTCTAGGCATCCTGAACTTGGAACCGCTAGTCACAACCACAGTTGTACGTGCTTGTGCTTAGTTCACTTTCTCCATTATTTTTTTACAGTCCAGTACTCAACCCCAGGAAACAGAGACACCCCTTTTTTTGTTCGTTCAAGACATGGTTTCTCTATGTAACAGTTCTAGCTGTCCTGGAACTCACTTTGTAGACCAGGCTGGTGTCAAACTCCCTGAGATCCTCCTGCCTCTGTCTCCCAAATGCTGGGGTTACAGGTGTGTGCCACCACTACTTGGCATTAGAGCTGTCCATTTGTGAGCTGAGTCTTTCCACATTAATTACATAATCAAGACATATCCCCACAGACACGTCCACAGGCCAACATAATCTAGGCAGTTCTTCATTGAGACTCCATTCTTAGGTGATTCTTGATTGTGTCCAGTTGTCAATTAAAACCAACCATCACTATTTGTACCCGTACCATGTTGATTTCATTGTTTTAAATTACATTGCATTTTAGCATCTGACAAAACTCGATTACACACACACCAGTGTTTCTGTTTTTCATTTGTTATCTCCTTATTATGGCTTTTAGATGATTCATATAGTAAAGAATTGCTTCTCCAGCATGTAGAATTCACTAGGAAGTAATTAGATCAAGAGGGCTCTAATCTCATCAATGAGTTAATGTATTGGTGAATTCATAGGTAAATGGTCTAGTAGGAGGTGGGACCTCATTGGAGCAAGTGGGCCAATAAGGTACACCTTTGAAACAAGTATCTTCTCAGTGGACCCTTTTCATCCTGTTTCAAGATTGGGTGAGGTATGCAGTTTAATTCCACTGTACCCTTTCCCATGTTCCTACATTGTCAAAGAGCTAAAAGCAGTGGAGTCTGCTGACTGTGAGCTTAAACCTCTTGAAACTTTGCGCTCAAATATGTTTGTGTTGCTTTGAGTTGTTTAACTCGGGTGCTTTGTCACAACAAAGACAAGTTAGCATACTTCTTTTTAGTAAAACAACATCAAAAACATTTTGTCTTCTTTTTCCTCCCCTTTCTCTCTTTTTTGTTTTTTTGACGCAGGATATCGCATTGAAGCCTAGCTAGCCTGGAACTCGGTATGTAGACCAGGCTGGCCTTGTACTCAAGGAGCTCACCTGCTTCAGCCTCCCGAGTGCTGATATTATAAGCAAGCACCACGATGGCCAATTTGTGACGTGCTAAGGATTGAACCTAGATCCTTGTGGATGGTAGATAAACAGTCTACAAACCAAGTTGCAGCCACAGCCCCACAGTCATAATTCTTCATTGTTTCTTTTCTTTTTCCCTATGGAATCGTTTTATTTTCTTTTTATTTATTAAAAATTTCCACCTCCTCCCCATTGTTTCTATACATGTTTTTGTTAAGATTATTATGATTCCATAATTTCAACTTGTTTGGAGTACAGAGAAACAACACCTATTAGATGCTAGGACCTAAACTAGATATTCACATGTATTTTTTGTTTTTGTTACAAGAGCCCTGTGTAATATACATTTATTATTCTCTACTTTAGAAAGGAAATAAAAACTCAAGTAAACTAAATGTTTTGATCAATGTACAAAACTAGCAAATATTAAGTATGCTATGTAATCCAGTATTTCTCTTTCTCTCCCCCTCCTTCTCAACCTCTTTCTCCCCCAGCCTCTGAGACAAGATAACATCTAGCCTAAGCATGGACTTGCACTCACTATGTAGTTGGTGCTAAGGTTAAATATCTAATCCTCCTCCCTCTACCACCCAAGTTCTGAAATTACAGGCATATACCATCATGGTTCTCGTTGAAAATAGATTTCTCCCCTTCCTCTCACTTTTCACTTATTTAAGGGGATGCTATTTATTAATTTATTGGTCTAATTAGAATTTCAAAAAGCTATTTAAATTATAACATTCAACAAGCTACATACCTCGTTTGTCTCTCTACTTATTGAGCAGAAAAAATTCATGTTTCTGCCTGTTTTAAAGGCTGGAAGAGGGTTCCTGAAAGGTTAAAGTGCTTGTTATTATGAAAGAATGGGAGTGAAGAGACAGGCACCATGTACTTTATTGGAAATATTCTACTTGTTGACAAAGATTTTCAGCCAGATGGTTGTGAGCTGCCATGTGGTTACTGGGAATAAACCTGCTCTGGAAGAGCAGCCAGTGCTTTTAACCGCTAAGCCGTCTCTCCCGATCTCTTAAACCATTTTTTAAAAAATTCTGAGGCTATATATTATAGAAATGAAAGTTGTTTGATAGAAAGTCTATTTTGAATAAAAAAAACTTGATTCTGGGCTATGACATCTGATATAAAAGCAAGTTATTTAACTTCTAATCCTAAATTTCCTCATCTTTATCAGGGAAAGTGGTATCTGTGGAGGTCTTAGGCATTTAGATATTTAGTCTCCATATGGTAGCCC